AGTTGAGAAGCTGATTCTTTTGTCTCTGTGAAAATAATTGTACGCCCGCCACTGCATCAAATAGCAAAATATAAGTCATGGATATACTAAGATGATAAATCCAAAAATAAGGAGTTTAAGAACAAATCAAACCGGCTGTAGCAACGAATGAGGTCAGGAATAATGTGTGGCCTTGCTGCACTGGAACAGGGGAGAACCAGATGTCTAACACTGGCACTAGCTTTCAATTTCTCATTACCAACAAGATCAACAGTTTTTTTCAGCGGTTTTAGGAATCTTGCTGATATCTGTTAACATATAAAATATCAGCCCTGATTTAATAGCAAACATATTTGAATATTTGAGGCATTAAGAAAACATTCCAAGTACACAAAAAACAGAGTTGTATATAAACGAAGCCAACCTTCTTCACCCAATCAGGAAGGGTAGCACTAAATAGAAGTGTTTGGACTTTGTTAGCATCTGCAACCTTTCCTGGAGAGAACAAAAATTATAAAAAGTTTAACAAATATTTGAAAAAATGATGCAGACTTCAGGTCTCATGACAAACACTTGTCTCAGGAAGATACAATATTAACATAAAACCAGCGTGAAAAGCAAAGAAAATAGCTCACAAAACTTCCCAGATGAAAGTTAGCAACACCAATAAGATAATAATCTATAGAGCATTCAAACAGTGTTCTATGCATTAAAACATTGTTTTTTTTTCCTGTGCCTGCATGGATTACCTAATGACTGATTTGACCTACCAACTTAAGAATACTTCTCTTAAACTAAAAGCCAAATAAATAAGTAGTTAACCTAGAAAAGAAGTGATATATATGTAGTCAGACAACCTATAAAAAATACTGATAGACGACTTCAATTCTATGCCAATCACAATACCACTTCAACAGAACGAGCCCGAATGAATCAATTACAAAAATTTGAAGAATACTTCTCTTAAACTAAAAGCCAAATAAGTATTTAACCTAGAAAAGAAGTGGTATATATGTAGCCAGACAGGCTATAACAAATACTGATAGGCAACTTCAATTTTCTATGTCAATCATAATACTACTTCAATAGAGCTAGCCTGGATAAATCAATAAACAAAATTTGAAGAATACTTCTCTTAAACTAAAAGCCAAATAATTTAATAGTTAACCTAGAAAAGAAGTGATATATATAGCTAGACAAGTTAAAACAAATACTGATAGACGACTTCAACTTTCTATGCCAATCACAATACCACTTCAAGAGAGCAAGCCTGGATCAATCAATAACCAAAATTTGAACAATT